ACCCCTCACCGATGGCCCTTCCCTTACAGAAGCGGTGGTGCTGGAACCGGCACCGTTCCGGCACGGTGTCATTCCCGGTTTTCTGGCGGACCCGACGTTCGCGGAGGCGTTGCGGGATGAGCTGCTGGGCCTCGGCTTCCGCGGGCGGCGCAATGACCTGCTCTCGCTGCGGCAGGTGGGCCCAGGGCCGAGCTGAGCCGGGCCGAGCTGGGCCGAGCCGAGCCACCCTAACCCCCGTCCCTTCTTCTCTTCCATGGGCCGCCGCAGTCCGAGGAGCTGGGGGCAAGCCCGGAGCCCCACGTCGCCGCCCTGAGGTAAAGCATGGGCTCGGGGCTTTGCTCTCTCTGGGTGGGGAAGAGCTGTGGTGGCTCCTCAGGTCCTCGAGGTGATTGCGGGGTGAGCCCGCGGCGTGTCCGCCTTCTACCCCCGTATTCGGGCCAAAAACCGGCCCTGGAGTGCTGAATCTGTTCTGTGCTTGTCATAGGCACTGAAGTGTTCAGCTTTCATCCACACTCAGCTCTCCTCCATCTGTTACCTCTGAAACGCTTCCCGGTGCACCTTCCGACTGGTTGCATGCTTGCTGCCGGTTATTGCTAGCAGTGCTGCGAGCGCTGGGCTGTATTCCTGGCCAGCACCTGTGTGGTTCTACAGGAACACACTGTCACTCACAGCAACAGCACCTGTAACTGTTTAAATAGTTGGCAGGGAGACAGTACATTAGTTTAGTCTATGATGATATATTTTATAACAGAGGAGGATACTTACTGTGTGCTTATCTTTTCAGGCATGCTCTGTGTGAAGAATTCCAAGCATGGCTTTCTGCTGTGACCCAGATAGCACTGGAGCCCACTATTGACATATCCTGTGCTAAATATGAATATACTGGTCAGTCTATAAGTGATCCTTTCCCTAAAGCTTCTGTGCATGTGTAGGAAACAAAATATCTTTAGGATACCTAATTTTATTCTAGTTCCAGAGGGTCCCAGAGGCTGTCAGCAGCAAAACAGTGTCTGAAAATGAAGTACAAATGATGAAAAAACTGTTGCTGGTGTATAAATGCCTGTACCTTCAGAACAACCTGATCTGTCAGTTGCAGTGTAGTCCAACAGAAGTGAACCTTGCAGATCTCAGGCTGGTGATGCTGATGAGTGAAAATGCAGTTCTTGGGAAGAGCATGTTTTTTCTTGTCATATCCTTGTGGAGACAAAGCTGGGAAGCAGTTGTTAGAATGAATCACGCATATACTGGAAAGATGCTACAGCAGCAAAACATGTGTAATTGCAGATGTTTTGCTGTGCCACGATGATGAGCTGGAAGGTCGGAGCATCGCTTTCATCCTGTACCTCGTCCCACCCTGGGAGAAAAGTGATGGGGGAACGTTGGATCTGTACAGCACAGACGGTAAAAGCTCCAAGCTCAGCCTCAGGTGGATGAAAAAGATAAAGCTTATGTGCCCCTTACAGCAGCTCTCACCTCAAATAGTAGAAGGGAGATAAAGAGTTTCTCCTTTGTTCAGAGAAGCTGATGTATAAGTAAAATGTGCCCTGTAGGGATGAGCTGTAGCAGGCTTTGCAGACACTGCTAACAGGCAACAGCAGACAAACTTTTGGAAGGGTCAAGAGTAGAGGTGAGATGGCAGCAATGGCAGTAAATGTGCTTGGAACTCCAGACTGATGACAGTAACTTTCCTTTCTAGCAGTAGAACCACAGAATGGTTTGGATTGGAACAGGTCTTAAAGCTTATCTTGTTCCAGCCTGTCTGCTGTAGGCAGGGACACCATCTACTAGATGAGGTTGTTGCAAGCCCCACTGAGCATTTCTAGGATGGGGCATCCACAGTTTCTCTGGGAAATCTGTGCCAGTGCCTCACTGTTCATAGTAAAGAATTCCTTTCTAATAGCTAATCTAAACCCGCCTTTTCTTTGAAGCCATTTCCTCTTGTTCTGTTATTCCATGTCCTTGTCTGTCCCAAGTACTTCTACAACATTATTGGTAGCTCCTTTTGGCACTGGAAGAGGCTTTAGGTTGCCCCAGAACCTTCTCTTCTCCACGCTGCACAGCCCCAAGTCTCTCTTTCTGTCTCCATGCAGACCAAGCTGTTGCTATGAGCTCCATCCCTTACACCCAGGTGTCCCACCAGTCACAGAGACATGAAGTCAGAGAGAAGTCCCAGTTCATATCTTAACCAGAATATGTTTTCTTCCTCAGAACACTTTCAGCCACAGCAAATCACCAAGTCATTAGTGCCTTCATGGAACACACTGGTTTTCTTTGAAGTGTCTCCAGTCTCTTTCCATCAGGCAAGGAGCTGTCTCTTGTTAATTTTTTAATCCTCATTGTTGTGGTTATTCATTCTGTGTGTTATTACAATCCTGATGGGAGAAGAACTGTGGGTAGAGTGGATACTCATGCTAAGTTCTGTGTTCTGAAGAGAGGACTTCAAGGACTTTAAGGAGGACAAGAACCAACAAAGCAAACTTTATCAGTCTAGCTGCATCATCCTGGGAAAGAAAAATTTCCATTTCTATTTTGTGTTACTATCCTGGCAAGCCACTGCTATGAATTTGGCTCTCACTTTTTTCTGTTTGTTGGCTTGTTTTGAACTAGCTCACATTTTTGATGTGGTGGTCATGACTTTGCTCCAGAGGAGCTCCTCAAGCCATGCATTACCTAGCCAACAGTGCAAGGGCACTGTGCAGATCTGGCTGTACCCCCTCAGTGACACAGACATGGTGCAGTGCCCTGCAGCAGAAATGCTGATACAGTTAAGGAGTACTCTGTGACACTTTCCAGGAAAATGCCTGGGAACAAGATGAATAATTTGGGGATCTGCATGACACAAACACCTGACAGAAATCTGACACACCTTTGTACTTGACTTACCAGGGACTGTATCAAACAGGTCCAGAGAGCAGAAGGCTGGAGAGGAAGATGATCAGTGATATAGGTTGGGCATGTCCTGACCTAGGCCACTCAGGGGCTATTTTTGTGTAATTTATGTTCTACAGTTGTTATTTAACAGCAGCCTCTACTTGGTCACTGCCCTGATTGTTTTCAGGTAGTGACTTAATTTTGTCTTAAAAATCCATGACTCAAAGTTCTCAGAGGGAGAGAGAGAATGGATTCTCTGTGAGCTTGGAGTAAAAGCTTAGACTGGAATTCTATAAATTTGCAATGGACTTCAAGTCCATTTGCAATGGAGCCAGGTCCATTTCCTGTTACGAGTTTGCATGGTACCCAGTCCTGTGTAACCAGTGATGTGCTGCCCAATGCTGTTGCAGGTGTCAGAAGTTCTGTCGCAGAAGTGCCGCCTGTCAGTGAGCGGTTGGTTCCACGGCCCATCTGTGGCCAGACCTCCACGGCACATTGAAGCCCCCTTGGCCAGGAGCCCACACATCCCCTATGATGTGAGTAACAAGCCTGCATCTGCATTTCTGTCTCTGTCCTGTTCCTGTAATACCTGTTAGGGAATGCATCAATGTACTGGGGATGTTTTAATCTTTATTCCATTCTCCTTTTCATTTCCTGTCCATATTCGTATCCAGTTTCTCTCTTATGCATCTGTTTTGTATACCTACAGTAATTCAGAGAATGTGGTGAATACCTGTGGTGCAATGAAATAAGGCAATGGAGTGTGTTTGTGTGTAGGACTCCCTGTGGCCAGCTCGGTAGAGGGAATTGGAGAATCTCCTTCACTTTTAAAAATTCAGTGTTCTAATCCATTTCTCTTCCAGCATGAAATATTGTATGAGTGGATCAATGTCGTTTATTTGGACATGGACTCCCAAGCTCAAATCCAGGAGGAATTTGAGGAGCGATCAGAAATTCTCCTGAAAGACTTTCTTAAGGTGAGCCCAGTGGTTCAATTTGATGTGATCTGCCAGAACTGGTCAGAGGGCTGGCAGGTACCACATGGCACGAAGACTGGGAAAGGGCTTGCTTTCACATGATAAAACACCTTCTAAGTTTCACACTTGAAGGGGAATGGACCAGGTGACCTCCAGAGACCCTTTCCAACCTCAGCCACTCAGATTCTGTGGAATGATCCCTCTGACTTCCTGTACATTGCTGTATGGAGACTCAGCAAAAATAAAACACTTGTCTTCAGCCTTCTTTTCTGGGAGCTAAATGCTAACATCTCTGCATCTCATTCTCCTAGAAAGAGAAATACCAACTACTGTGTGAAGCACTGGAGAACAAAGAGATCCAGTGGAGTAGTCGGGGGCCAGCCAATAAAAGGTGGGGAATGACAACGTGCCGCCTGGTCATCAGACTGAGCAGCAGCTGCCATGAGGCTTCGCTGGTCAATGCTGTCCCTCTGGACATGGTTCTTGTTGGCTCTCCTGCAAGAGACACATCTCCTGTCTTTCAGACTCTATGAGGCAGCAGAGGAAGACAGCCTCCCTGATACCCTGAAGGAATTTCTGCAGCTGCTGCGCTCCGAGGCCTTATTTTTACTGCTTTCCAACTTCACTGGCCTAAAACTGCACTTCCTGGCTCCCTCTGACGAGGATGAAGATACTGAGGAGGGACAAGCAGCAGACACCACTGCACACAGCAGTCCCAAACCTAGGCAGGAAGAGACTGAACAACCAGCTAATGGCAATCCACATCAGCCACACCAGCCTGAGAACACCCCTGAAGCACAGGACAGTGAGACACAGGGTGGTGAGTAGAGCAGCAGTAGTGTGAAGGGATTCAAACAAAATTCCCAGTGATTTTCCTGGAACTAGTGTTTCACCTTGTACTGCAACCAGCACAAGGCACGAGCACAAACATGGGAGTTTGAAGCATGTTAAATTATCTGAAATCAGTGACCATTGCCAAAGAATTTGGACTAAATCAATGACTAATTTGAAAATACCATTTTAAACATACCTAGGTCTTAAAGGTGGGACTTTTGAGGGGCGGGGGGCTGTTAATCTTTTGTCAATAGTTACGTGGTTTCCACATACCCCTGCTTCATATAAAGCATAATCTTGTATGAGATAATAAATCCAAAAGAGAAAGGTGAGCAGGTCAGAAGTAAAATAATTTTAGAATTAGAAAATTGATACCTAAAACTAGGCAAAAAGGATTCAACCTTTCAGAAGACAGCCTAAACAACCATTTAGTTGTCAGCAATGACAACTATCTAAGATTAGATTAATTTTGGATTTTGATTGCTGATGTTTATTTAAAACAGTGGCTCTGAAGTTTAAGGGTAAAATTTTTGAAAATGCTCATCCTGCTCTATGTCCTGCAAGTTAGTGGGCACTGGAATAAAAGGCAATAAAAAAACAAGTCCTACTGAAAAAAGCCCACCAGAGCACTTATCAGGAACAAAGGCCATATGGAGCAAATCTTGGTCCCCCTACTACACATTGTTCCAAGTACCTAACCTAGAGTCACTTCTAGGAAAGATACTGACATGTGATCTGTGGTTTTACCCTTTTTCACTGGGGCCAGCAGACAGTTTCACAGTGCTGTGAGATTACTGACCTCCTCCCATGCTTTGAGCTCAGCTGATGTGGCTTCATGGCTCTCCCTGGGTGTTTGTGCCCTCTCCTAGGCTCGGGCACTCCTGTGTGTGCGGGGGAGCTGCGACACTGGACCCATGGGCACTACACTCTTGTCCATGACTCTCAAGCCACAGAATTTGCTCTTGACCTGCTCTTCTTCTGTGGCTGTGAAGGTAAGTGGATGAGAGAGAGATGTCAGACTCTCTTTCTACAAGGTTTGCATAAAGGAATGACTTCTGAGTTCTCAGAAGTCTCCGTGCTAAAACATTCAAAATTTCCCTGCTTTTTCCTACATAAAAGGTGTCTGTAGACTTTGTCCTAGTCCTCACTTAGGCATAAACCCTGGTTTCAGTAGTCCTCATTGTGTTTGGCATTGTGGCCTTGGAATCATCTCTGGCTTCTCCCGCATTTGCCAGGAGGTGGCGCTTGGACAGAGGGAAAGGCTGAGTCTCCCAGACCTTTCCTCCTAAGCAATGGCTCACGATGGCCACAATACCCACCAGGAGGGTTCCATCCCTTTCCTCATCAGAATCATCACTACACCTCCAATTCACAAAGCCCAGGGAAGGTTTTCAAAAGTTACTTTAGGCATGTCTAGGCATTTTGGGTTGATTGCTAGTTAGATAGTGTTAAAAAAAATCTAAACACAAGCATCTTAGACTAGATGAGGCCAGAATGTATAGCTGAAACCATCTGGCACATGCTGATGATTATACTGAAATCTTTTAGCATATCTGCTGATGATTATACTGAAATCTTTTAGCATATCTGCTAGGGTAGAACTGTTCTACAGGTGAGGAACAGTGCACCAAACAACTTTATATAGACCATCTACCATAAAAGGCAAATCCAGTATATTTGCTTCAAGTTGTTTCTGAACAGAAGAAAACAAATAGACTTGCAGGAGGTAAATATTTACCTTGTATCCAGTAGGTTTGGGGAATGGGGTGAAAAAATGGCATCTCCTGGAAGGCTGCATGGACCCTGGACAGCACTGAGGTTTCTAAGAATCTTTCTTTTCTATTTTAAGACTGGGATCCTGAATATGGTGGCTTTACTTCCTACATTGCTAAAGGTGAAGATGAAGAGGTAAGGACCTCAATTGCTAGCTGCAAATCAGATAAAACTGTTTAGGGTGGAGAGACATAATTACACTTTGCATAACATAATGCAGAGGGGTGCTCAGTAGCACAGTGGAGCCTTCTTGGCCCAGTCACTGCTTATGGGTGACGCTCTGGCCTCAGCTTCAAGAGGCTGCTGTTCACCTAAAGCATGAGACCCAGGCCCTGAGAGTGCCTCGTAGCACCTGCACCCAGGGTCATTTGGGAAGCCTGCCTTGAAGGGACACTAGGCTGTAGCAGAGAGAACATTTTTCCAAGGAAATGCTATTCACTGGGGTCACATTTAGCATTGGTACTGGTGACAGTGCTGAGCAGTCACACTAGTAAGAAGTCCAGAAGCCCTTAACGTATAACAGTGCTTCAGGTAAAGGGTATTAAAATGAAAATAGTGTCACAGTTCATCTTGTAACATCAGAGCTTTATTCTAACTAACTTTTGACACTGTTTTGTCTTTTCTTAAGAATTTTACCAGTTATTTTTGTGAAACTGATTTACTTCCTTATCTTTGTGTCCTCTAGCTGTTGACAGTGAATCCAGAGGACAACTGCTTGGCCTTAGTTTATAGAGACAAAGAAACTATGAAGTTTGTGAAATACATCAATCATCGAAGCTTGGCACGCCTGAACAAGCATCCAAACAGAACAGGATTTTGGGATTTTTCCTTTGTCTATTATGAGTGATGGTACAGTGTGACCACTGTCACAGAGAACAGTGGCGGGTGGTGGGCAGGTTCCTATCCGGACATTCAGCTCTGACCTAAGCTCAGACAAACTTTGCTCCTGCAACTCCATCACACTGCATAATATGTTGGCAGATGGTTTTTTTAACTGCAAAAATGGAAATTCAGTCTTCTCCTGAGTCCATTGTGATACGCTCTCAACTGCTTTTAATGCTCTGTGGGTGAGGTTGTCACACAGCTGGCAGCTTTCCACCTGTTCTGTCATGGGAGCAGCACAGTGGCATCTCTGACCCATCAGGGTGAAAATTACAACTGTACATTGCCCCAAGCTGCTGACTAATTTTATTAAAAAATAAATAAATAAAAAAAGGAAATGGGTCAGTTAAATGTTTCATACACTGGTTGGGCAAGTTTTGTTACAAGATGCCCAAGACTTGCTGAGGCTTAACTGTATTGCTGAGACAAAAATAAAGGAGCTGACATGGGAAATATGAGGTTATTCCAGCTGCACAACTCTGGAGTTTTGAAGGAAGACAGTGAGGCTGAAAAGGCAGTGAGTGGGAAGGACTTGGCACCATAAGAAGGAGCAGAATTTTATTATGCGAACTGCTGTGCAGACAGACCTAGACGCAGCCCTTTTTCCAAAGAATTTACAAGGTGAACAGCCAAGAAATCTGTTCCTGCTCACTCTCCTTGGGTTGTTCTGAGGCTCCAGCCTCAGAACAGGGGCCAGGGCCTGGAAGCAGGAATGAGGTAACTGACCTTTTACTGCCTTGGTGTCTGCAGGTAGTAGGGAGGTCACCCAACAGCATGGCCTTGTGTCCTTCTAGTTACATCCTGGGATCTGCTGGGCTTTAACATGGCTTTTGTCACTGGAGATCAGCTCAGATGTTTTGAGGCAGCAACCAGCCAAGCCCTGTGGTAAACACTGTAAGAAAGGCAGTGAGTGTGGCCTGGTTGCAGCACCTCCCTGCACGTTTTTAATACTGTGCACCTGCCCAACATTCACTGCAAGCAGGACTGTGCCAGACTCACCTCTGAGGTATCCAGCCCACCAAGAGTGCAGCAGAGCTGTACCAATGCTTCAGGAGACAGAGTGCAGAACACCCTGCTGGAGGCTCAGCCCTGGCCTGCACCTGCTTGCCTGAAACTTTTTTTTGGCACTGAGAGACAGGTGTTCTTTCAGCTCATGCAAGCCAGACAGTGCAGGCTGCAGGTTGTAGTAAGCTGGGGAGTGTGCATGTTTCATCACTCCTGTCCTGTCACCTCTGGGTGGGGAGAGGGTAGCTTTGGATTAAAGTCTGCTCCTTCTCCCAGTCCAGACCTGTTGTTGGAGGCCACCACAGTGGTGTAAGACCACAGCTAGCAGCACAGGAGCAGTAAATTCAAAGCAAGGCTCACTGTTGACATGAATATTCTACACCCTTTCCTAAGCGGGTGGGATGTCCTGTGGGCATCTCTGCGTGAAGATACAGGAGCAACACCCTTCAGCTTCGACCCCAATACACGAAGTTCTAAAAAAGGAGTCCCTGAAGCAGTTGGCAGGAACCCCTGCCATTGCTTCCAAAGGGAATGGTAACTCAGCCCCTGCAGGTGCCAGAGCAAGGGGCCAGCACTGCTGTTAGTGCTGTGCAGGACTCTCTAGTTCCAGTGTCAGTTCCATCATCCCAGTTGATGAGCAGCTGCTCAGTTCTAGCTACTCCCTTATGCTGTGTTGGGCAGGAAGGATGGCTGGGAGGTGGTTGCCTCAAGCTGCTGTTGCAAGATCTTGTTCATATTCAGACTCATTTCCCAAAGCCAGCATCTCTGTGCGCTGCCAAAACTCTCTTGCTCAGTTTTAATCTCCCTTTGTCACTTACAAAGACAAGGGGATGAAGCTAGAAACAAATCCTGAAGTGAGGACAGAACTCTCTGAATCATGGTTGCTGAGGTACTTTTCTGCCTTTTGGGGAAGCAGCTCTTCCTGGGAATAACGCAGTTCTTATTCTAAGCTCTCCCCTAGAACATGACAAGTAATGGAGGTTTCAAAGAAAAAAAATTATTTGGGTCATTTGGAACAAAAGTGACAGACACCATTGCTATTCAGAGCATAGTCTGCTAGGCAAAGTTGGGAGTAAATTCATTAACAAAACAAAGTTACTTCTTTGACTACATTGTGAGTCTAAGAATGTGCCTGGTAGACCTTGGAACATCCTTCCAGGAGACTGGGAAGAAGTCAGGCTCTTTAGAGCTTGCTGCTTTTTAATAGTAAGTGTTACACTAGAGGGCATACCAGCCTCTGCTTGAGTAAGCCCCTATCTACCAGATCACACAAGGAACCACCCTTCTTCCTCTGGTGACTCAGATGAAGTAATTTAAGAAGCCAAATTTGCAGTTAGCTTTCAAAGGTTTAAAAATGAACATGTCTCTGCTCTCCCACCCTTCCTTGTTAGGTCCTAAAGCCACAGGCAGCCCCAGGCATGACTGGTGCTGCAGGTACAGAGGAAAGACTTCACTCACTAAAATTTCAAACGAAGAGGGGCTTTCATTTACCCAGTGCCAGTAATGGGAGCTTTCTCTGTAGATGCTCTTGCTGGATTCCAATCTGTATCTACAATTAGGTGCAGGTACTTGCAAAATATGTGCATTTTTCATTTGGCAAAGGTAAAGTTGGTTTTACAGGAAAATAAATTACAAATTTGTTGTCGGAAACTTAGATAGGGGAAATCAGCCTTACCAAAGGTCTGCACAGTGAATGAAGGACTGACCTCACTGCCAGGAGCAGAACAGAGCTGGGATTGGCAGTGGCTGGGGTGCACAGTCCTGAGAATCAGACTGACGGGAAAACTGCTTTCTGATCAGAGCCACTCTCTTATCATTAAATGGAGTACATAAATGTAAGCAAGCAAGCATTAGGATTTTGAACATAAAGAACAAGAGCTTGAAACAGTGGGAACAGGTACAGCAAGTGGCAGAAAGCCCAGAATTTATGCCAGGAGACTGTTCCATAATCAAGTCTCTGAGCTCACTTGCTTAGAACAGCATGGGTGGCTCACCACCCTTCTACCAAGCAGCTGGATTTGACTTAACAACCAGTTTCTTAAAGGGATTCAAATGAGCTCCTGCTGCAGATTCTAACTGACACAGGTCTGCGTTTTCAGGAGCATAGTTCTCCATATGGAAGGGGCCAAGGCAGTGGCAAGAGGCAAGTTTTGGGGATAAACATTGTGAGAATTACATTCCCCATTCAACTGGTCACACCACACTCACCAGTGGCTTTGTAACAAAGATGGGCTGCTGGTTTTAATTCAGTAGTTGCTCATAAGAGAGACCAGCTAGAGGATATGACTCCTCACAGCCCCAAGAAACCACCCAAGAACTTAACGCCTCCCTGCCCACACCGTAAACACAATCATATGGTGGCAAGGGTGATGCTGATGCAGGAACACTGGGGCCCAACCTCCACCCTTTGCAGGTTATTTTTAGCTTCCAAAAGAAATTTGCTTTGGCAAAGGTTCTAAAATACCTTTAGATCTGAGATAGAACCTTACTGTAACAACTGAATCCAATTCTAAGGATCACACAACTAAACAGGTTTGAGCCAGGAGTCAAGTAATTTTCCAATACCTTCTTCTTTTGATCCCATTACTACCAGCCCTTCATGATTATGCACCAAGCTTGAGTGTGTAGTTTGTTTTTGTTGCTCCTGAAATGCACCCTTGCCCACCTCAATATCTGCAGTTTTTCCAGCAGTAGCACAGAACCAATAGCTGGAAGCAAAACTTTCTGCAATCCAGGTGTGGGGAGAGTGCTGAATATGAAACAGACCACTTTCAACCTGCACAGATCATGGAACTGGACACCTGTCAAAAATCTTCTGGCTCAAGAGCCAGCAAGATGTTATCCTTTGGTGGTTTTCATGCACTGCTCTGCACTTTACCTAGAGAGCCACACATCCCTGCAAAACCCAGAACTCTCCAGCACAGGAAGTTCAAGTGTAAAGGAACTATACAGCAGAAACCAGAAAAGTTGTTTGGGTTGGGTTTTTTCAACAAGTAAACTTAGCAGTATACATCTCCCCAAGTAAATCAGAACAAAATCAGTCAAGCCAGTCTATGTTTTAATGGAAAAGATCAATGTCTTAACTACAAAATATATTTACATACATAAATAAGTTACTGTAATAAAAAATAACTGTTTGAATGTCTGTCTTGCATAAATACCGTATCTGCACTTAAACTCTGATGGTCTCATCATGGAGCTTTGGTCTGTGTAATATTTCTTACCTGACAACTTAGCTACAGCACTACCACTGTAATTACTTCACCCTACAGTGGAGTAGGGGTCTGAATTAACTGCTTCTCATCCATTATCTGCCCAGTTCATGGAATCATGCCTCTGTGCAGCTGCTGCTCCTCTCCCTAAGAGGAGGCTGTTCCCACACGCATTATCCTGAACAGTGTGTTGAAGTTGTTGCTTCTTATTGCATCCCGACAAGCACTGACCACTTGTGTTTTAGGTTTGCCAACTGCAAAGAAGAAAAATAAGAAAAGGAAAAGAAAAAGAAAAGGAAAGAAAAGGAAAAAAACTCAGTTACAGAGTAAGAAACTTGTAAAAATACTTATTTGATCCTGTTTGAAAATTTAGGGGTTTCTTTCAAACACATTTGAAACACATGATGAAACACCACCTTTTTTTTAGTACATAGATAAAATCCTTTCTTTAAAGAAGAATCCCCTGTAGCTCTGTTTTATGAGAGCTTGTTGGAAGGGGAATGCTATAAACATACAAAAAAGTACCTCCCTCCCCAAAGATCTACATGACTAATAATGCAAATAAAACAGTCCTGTTTAAGTTAGTAGTTATTTTTTTTTAAAAGAATTATAAACCAAGAACTGAAGTAATTCTAAAAACATTTTTAAAGTAGTATGTTCAACAAAAGTATCAATGTCTGCCTCATTCAAAAATCTGGGAACTATTTCAAACTGTTCTTTCTAGAATTGTGATCCCAGATTATACTGGACACTCACAGTTGACTGTCACACATAATTGGCTATGACTAAAGAATGAAGTTTCTACTATTTCTACTGAATTTCAGGCCAAAAAGACCTGAAGTCACGGGTGACGTCTGGGACACATCTTATGTGCCTCACTGGCAGTCTGAAACTCCTCATTGCTTTCAAAAACACAGACTTACCACGTAACCGCCCAGCCCTTTGGATTGCCTGATTCACAGCTTTCAGATTATTCAACAGCTCTGTGTGATTGTTGCAACGAATTTTGTATTGATTTATTAAATCTCTGTTCAGGTCATACAGCTCACTGTACCGTGTCTTCATGTTTTTCCTGGGGAACAATCAATCCAGTTATTTTT